TGGGCACTTGAAAATCATTCATGGTAACACCAAAATCTGTCAAAGCAAGTTGCTAATATTATTATTTTAGACACTAGGATTTTTCTGCCTTAGTATCCTAAAACACTATATATATATACATAGTATATAGTGTTTGGAATTCCTGCTGTTGAAGATGCTCACATAACCAAGAAGTAATACGGAATGCTAGTGTGAATGGTTTGCTTTTGCCTGAACTGCTTAGACTCTGGGATTAGTGAAAAGGTCTCCCTGCTGGTGAAGGGTCAGAGCCAGCTGCTCAGTCTTCTCAGGTGAGGTAGTGGTGGGTTTTATATTTGGAAAGAAGTGACAGTTAAATAAAACTGATTTTATCCTTTAGACTATCTGATATCTGTAATTAGTTAATACTTTTAGGAATAAAGGTTTTTATTTTTTAAGTGGCTTCCCTACAATGTTTGTATATCCAGAGAGGCTACATTTTAGTAAGCAGTAAATGTTATGTGCTACTTTATTTGCAGACTTTTGCATTGAAAATGATATGATACTGTTGTATATTGATTGTGTGCACTCTTAAGGAGCAATATATTTTGGTCCAAAGTGATTAGACATGATTATTGGGATTTTCCTAATTATACGTGAGCCTTGGTGGTGCATGGTTTAAAGTTAGCATTATCAAGTTATCATCATGAGTTCGATCCCTGGCCAGGGAGGTTACCCATGTGGTGCGGCAGACCTCTCCTGTCTTGCCCACTGCTCCCGTCACCTGTATTTCTGTGGATCCACCTGTTCTGTTCTCTTCTCAATCCTCTCACCACTTAGTTCCGGCCTACACCTCAGTTCTTATATGCATAAATAAAATCTTAAAAAAAATTCTAGAATATGTCAATTTAGTATATGATGAAGTTGGCATTTTAATCCAGTGTAAAAGGGATGACTTTTCGTAAATAGTTTGGGGACAATAGCCTATCTATTTTGGGGGAGAAAAACTGGACTCCTACCACTTACAATGCACAAAAATAAGTTCTGGATGTAGTCAAGGTCCAAATAGAAAAATAAAAACTGTAAGAATACTTTCATAATTTTCTGAAGATGCAGAGATCAACAAGATGTAAAGCAGAAGAACTTTAAAGGATTGAGTCATATGACACAAAATTTCCATTTATTAAAAACTACTCTAAACAAAAGACAAATAGCCTAGAAGAAAGAAATAATGTACACAAATCTCTGAAAAGACAACTCAGTATTTAGAGATGTGGCAAAGGACATGTCCGTGTATGTTTCCAAAAAGAAATACAAACAAGCCTGTAGACATGTGAACTGATAAAAAGACAGAGAATTGAAAATTAAGTTGGCATCACCTCTGCATCCATCAAATGGGTGCAAATTAAAAAGGTTGAAGAGGGCATGAATAGGCACTTCCATACATGACTGTTGGAAGTATAAATTGTCCCAGTCTTCCAGAGAGCAGTAGGACTCTGTCAGTATTACCTCTGTAACAATTTAAAGTGTATGCCCCTTTAACCCAGAAATTCTATTTCCTGAAATAGTCCTACATTTGAATATGAGTGCGGGAAGCTTTGCTACAATATTATTCGTAAGAGTAAAATCATTTTCAACCACCTACTCATCTGTCACCTTATCTCAGATAGCTAACTTCTTTCTACATCTGAGCTAGTAGAAACTAAAGCACATTTCCCTGGTTACCTTAAACACCTCCTGGCTCCCTGGGGTAAAGAGCAAGTGTTTGTGACATGGTGAGCACGTGGAGGAGAAGATGGCTCGGACATCACAGATACACACACTCCCTTAACTTGGTGCTCCCTTCTGGGTCTTAACAGCTCACCTCTGCAATACAGGCTCAGTTTTAATTTTTGATGTCTACATTTTCTAATGGAAATTCCTAAATCAGGTAACCCAGTTCTGTGGGTGATTTTATTAGTATCAAGTAATTTTTAGGAGGGTGGGAATTTTACATGGAGAATTCAGGGGAGGAATTAAAGCTGCTTTAAGACTTTAAAACCCAATTTCATTTTGGTCAGGGTGGTTGATCCTATGCTATATCTCACATAATGAAAATTAATCCTTAATCTCCATGGTATTAGTTCTGACAAATTCCCATGATTTATTCAAGATAAAATTTGGCTTTCTAATGTGTTAGTTGCTCTTGGGCTATAAATATTTACAAAGAAATCTGTAGTTACTGCTAAAGAGAAAGAGGAATTACCTTTTTACTCCCAGCTATCAGATTCCTTGGCAAGATGTTTAATATTTATCAAACATTGATCGGATGCTCTTTACCCAACAGTTTAATTTGCATAGGTAATGAAATTATTTACAGAAGCCAACAATTGAGATAGACTGGTGCTATCTGAAGGAATATTACATGAACCGCAAAATTAAAATTAAAAGTAAGATAGCTGACATTAATTTTAATACTTTTACTGAACCCGGGTTGTAAAAGAGATTCAACACATGTCCAATATAAATGAGTAATCTTTTACATTTATTTTTGATAGTAAGTCTTTGAAACCCAAGGAGTATTTCACATCTAAAGCATATCTGAATTTGGACCAGCCTCTTTTTAAGTATTCAGTAGTCTGTGGACAAAGCAGGGCTAGACTTATAAGCTCCAGAGGACAGAGAGAGTAACGGTGTTACCATTGTCTTCCCAGCACCTAGCACAATACCTGGTAGACAGCAGGTATACAGTAATGAGTGAAATAGTGGATAAATAGAGAACCATTTCACTGATTCCTCAACCTTTAACACGTGTGTGAGTTATATTTGTCACAAAAAAAAGGTTTGGGAGTAGATTTATGGACTACCTTCTCTGTTGGCTGTAGAAAATAAAGCCACAACATTATAGAGATTCTTAGCATTCTTGTCTGTTGGCCATGCTACTCTGCCATGTTTTTAATTTGTCTTGCTAATCTTAGAAGCACTTTTGTTTTGAGAAGACCATTGCATAATCCAACCCCTGTGATTGAAATCGTGGATCTCTTAAGCATAATAATACCAGAGTCCGCTGAGAGTTGTACACTGCTTTAATCATTCCAGCCACTGTTTCCTTTGACCTAAAGCTAAAATCAACAAAACTGCCAATACCAGATCTCCAGCTATTTTAGGTGATACAGGGTAATTGTTATATGTGATCTTTACCTCTGAAGAGCTTATAATCTATTTGGAGAAGAAAAGCAAATGTTAATGAAATGAGTAGAGACAAAATGAAATTTGTAAATTTGTTTGATGTTTTCTTTGTGCTTTAGTTTTGGTGAATATAAATACATTCCTCTTTCCTCAAATAGCTCACATACTAGAAGGATTTTTGTATGTGCCATTAAGATTCTGAACATAATACAAGTCTGTAAGTTACAGTCATGATATTCCCTTATATAGATAAGGAAGGTCAGATTCAAAATCTTGGCATTTCTAAGAGCCCGCGCTCTTTCGCACCATATCGTCGGTGTTTCAAGACTTGTAGAGAGAGAAACTGAGTTCTTCACTTGAGGTAAACACAGCTCACTAGGAAGTTTTCTAACTGATTATAATTTGCTGAATATTTATATATTCACATAGTTATAGTATGATGATTTTATTAATGTGTTTACCCTAATATTTGAGTAGTATGATACTGAATTGTATGGGCCCCATGGCTTTACTGATGAGGCAGAACCACACTAGACTAGACTCGGAGGCATTTCCAAAATTAGGCATTGAAGGGTAGGTGAGCCAGGCCAAGGCTTAAGAGAAGCACTTGGCTTTCCAACCAGGCACACACTTAAACAGGCAGGAGTATGAGAAATCAAAACAGACTATGTTGTAAAAGTCTAAATTGCTGGGTTGAGGACTTCATACTTTAGCAGTAAGGAGCCATGAAAAACTCTCAAACAGGACTTATGGGTTGGACTTGCCGTGATTAGTTATTCCGTTTTTTAGATTTATGTGATTGCTTTTCAGTACTTGTTTAAAGAATACTCTTAAGAAGTGGTGTTTTGATTAGAAAGGATATATAAAGTGTATATATATATATACACAGTGTATATATATATATATGGCCTGTGTTAGGTAATAAATGTTTGTTTAACACATTCATTAGGTACCCAGGATTTCTTAAATATTAAATAACATACTAGTATTTTATTCCTAACACATCAAAGTAGATAAGTACTCAGGGGACAGACAACTATAGTAGCTTTTTATGCCACCCAATATATGTTTAAGCGTCCTTGATTCTATAGCTGTGTAAGAGTTTGTTCTGGTGTGAAAAAAAAAAAAAAGTAAGGATAATCAAGATAATATAGTCTTTTTACTCTAAAATAATCTTGAAATACTATTAGTGAACTAACTGATGTCATTTAAACTTCAGAAAGCTTTTAAGTATAAATTTATAAATTGTGGAATTAGCTTTCTTTAATAAAGCTCTTACGAGGATGAAAGATGCTCTTTGAGATAATATAAGGATATTCTTTGTTAACTGCCATAATGTCTGGAGTGGTGTTTAAATTCTAATTTTTACTACAACTCTTTGAAATCCAGTTTTCTTTTTAAGTGTATAATTATATATTGTGAAGAAATCATAGGTTTTATGTATGTGTGTTTTTATTTATACATGACTCATTCACATTTGTGATTATATTTATGTAGTTAATATTTTCAGTTTAATTTAGTTGGCCTGTGTTTCTTCCTCCTCTAAGAAAATTTGTCCTTTTAGCTTATTAAACCCCTCCTCCTCCTCCTTTTCTTGTAAATTCCAAATTACCAGCCAATTTCTTGAGTTTATAATGCTATTTGCCACCTTTGGGAAAATCTTTTTATTGCTATCAAAATCTGAAAGTAATCGTATGAACTAGAAATGGAGACTAGCTCCTTAAAATCTTAAATAACTTAAGCAAATTAAAGTAACATATGTGTTATAAATCTTCCCTGATACCCTTTTAAGGCTAAAATGATTGTTACCAAAATTTGTTTGTGGCATTTAATCTGTTGGGCCATCTATGGAAAACTGTCCTCTTCTCTCCTAGGCCACAGACCTCCACCAGCACGAAGTGGACATCGTTGTGTGGCAGATAATACCAATCTGTATGTTTTTGGAGGTTATAACCCAGATTATGATGAGTCAGGAGGGCCAGATAATGAAGACTACCCCCTCTTCAGGGAGCTTTGGAGGTATCATTTTGCTACAGGAGTATGGCACCAGATGGGCACAGATGGCTACATGCCCCGGGAACTGGCATCTATGTCACGTGAGTGAAGGCAGTTCTCAGACTTTATGAAATGTCTGAGAGATCAAGTTGAATGTCACATGCGTTTTCTTAATAATTTTTAATATTGTCATGTATTGCTTAACAATAGGGACAGGTCTGAGAAATGTGTTTTTAGGTAGCTTCACTCTGTGAACATTGTGGAGTACGCAAGTCTGATGGCATCACCTACAGCACACGTAGGCTCTGTGGGGACTGCCTTTGTGTATGTGTTCCATCACTGACCAAACGTCATGACGCAGGGCATGACCATAGTACTGTAGGATGATTAAATCCTGTTAGTGGTGTTTTTTTACTTTTACTATGGTAGTAATATAATACAGTGGTTGAGAGTCACTTGGATAGTCCTGAGTTCAAATATAGCTTTATATCATTTACTTGCCAGATAAATGGGATTAATACCTCAGAGGGTTCAGTATGAGGGACTGTATACAAAGAGTAGGCAAAATGTAGTAGTAGATCAACAAATGGGCTTTATAATGATAATAGCTGTTAAGCAGAGACCAGTTCACACATGGTATCTGTTTAATCCTCACAACTTTTGTGTGATGCAGGTACTGGAATTCTTGGCACTGTACAAATAAGGATGCTAAGGCTTTGGATAGGCCCTGAGGCTAGTAACTAAGAGACTCTCGACACTGCATTCTAGGTTGGCAAGGTTCTTTCCAGGAAGCCTTCAAGAAGTTAGTGAAACCACTTTCCACTTTTATTTCATCATCTGTAAAACAGACAAGATGGTAATAGTTTCTCCCTCATGGTTTTCTTTGAAGATTCATTTAGAGATATTAAAAAGTTCTCCGGAAGTTTACACACAAATTTAAACCCAGCATTTGATGTCTCCAGAGCCTACACTGTATCTGAAGAATTGGTTTAAAAAAAAAAATGCCTTTCACGTAATACAGTAGCACTGTTTTGAGATTTGCCATTAGAGAGAGAGATAAAAAGTACATACATGTCTGTGTGTGTTAGCAGGAACAGAAGAGATAAAGAGAACACCAAAATTACTAGCCTATTTTTATTTATTTTTATCTGCTGGAGGATTAAGATGAGAGAAATCATAATTTGAAATATAGAGCTCATTTCCCTAGCAGAAACAAAATGATCCTTTTATCCCTTCATCCTTTGTTTCACTGGTTCTTTGCCGTGGCAGAGATCACACTTCATCTTCCTCGTTTTCCTACATGCTTGACCAGCCCTACGTGATAGCTGTCCGTAGCTCCTCTCAGTCAGTACTGTGACACAGCATGTTTCATGAATTCCACAAATTCCTTGACAACAGCTCACATACCTAACAGTGAGCTGTGTGATAGATAGTTCATATAACGCGAATTCAGAACTTCAGAGTAATTAGCTGTGAATGGTTTGAGCTATTTTCTGAGAGCACGAAAGCAGTTTCTCAACTGTTCTAGGTTTACCTAGGAGTACGTTACAGATAGCCAGGAGGTCAGTGTAATTTGTGCTTCTCCTTTCCTAGTTGTGCTGCACGGAAACAACCTACTAGTGTTTGGAGGGACGGGCATCCCATTTGGCGAGAGCAACGGCAATGACGTCCACGTCTGTAACGTGAAGTACAAGAGATGGGCTTTGCTCAGCTGCCGGGGGAAGAAACCCAGTCGTATATATGGACAGGTACCAGTCTGTGGCCGGCTGTGATGGATGTATTTGTTCAGGTTTTTTCTAGGAGATGTCAGAATACTATCAATTTTTTTTTAATGAAAAGTCAGTTTGCTGTGGTTAGTATTTGATTTTTTAGTTCTGATGGAAAATTTTAATTTTGAAATCTAGCTGCTTGCATTTTCCCTTCATCTTTGCTTCTAGTCCTATTCAGGATCACAATCTAGACCTGTATGAATTTTTTTTTTAAGTATCACACTCTTCCTCCTCTCCCACCTCCAGAGATTGGGCTACTCATTTCCCAGTTCCTCTCATCTTTGGAGTGATCTGACTCTTTGAAGAGCTTCCTGGCCCTAAGTAGTAGAGTAGATGATCTTTGCAGTTGGTTTAGAGAGTGTGGTATTGACCTGAAGTAAAACAGGTAATATAGAAATTAGTTTTTAATTGGGTTCCAGTGTTAAAACCTAAGGTTTGAAAAAGTAGAACTGTTAGAGAGCAAATCACCATACACTAAAGCCCCTTTGAGAGAAATGGGCAACCAAGCTTTGGCTTCTTAAATAGCTGGCATTAAATCTTATTAGTTTTGAAAGCCTGCTGCACTATGTGGAGAGATTGGCACTCTCCCAGAACAGCCAACTCTACCCCACTCAGGAGGCATTTAAATTCCAACTGATGACCGTAACAATCGCTGATTATACGTTGAAGAATCTGGCGGAAAATGTCAAGTTTTTAGGACTTCCAGCTCTAGACTAGACTTCTTAAGGGATCCTGGCAGTCTTATTTTCTTATCTATGCCTTCTTTAGAAGGACCTGTTTCTTCAGACTACTTAGAAACAAAGTGGCTTTCAATGGAAATGCTCATGATCTGCAAGTTACTTGGTTGACTTGGAGCCAGAAGGATCCACCCTTGCCTTTTTAGCCTTACTTTTCTAAAAATAATCTGTGGGATATCTATTTTAGAAGGCTAAAAATTATAATAGAATTTGAGAAAGTCTGGTTTTGGGTACCTGGTGACTTTACAGTCTTTAACAAAGTGTTAGTGAGTAAGTGTTGTTCACCTTTCCCGGATATCCAGGCCATGGCCATCATCAACGGCTCCCTTTATGTCTTTGGAGGAACAACTGGCTATATTTACAGCACAGACCTGCACAAGCTAGATCTCAATACCAGAGAGTGGACACAACTGAAACCAAACAACCTTTCCTGTGATCTACCAGAAGAGAGGTAAGTTTCTAGGATTAAAATTTATTTGCTCTTTCTTGCTAAGATTTAATGTTTTTCAGAATATTGGTAGTAGGGTTTAAGAAAGCCTGGTGGCCTAATCAGAATAGCTAACAGGCTGTTGGAGCTCAGTTCGGATTAAAGACGGGCCTCCTGGTCAGAGAATTTTGTGAAACATAGAATGCTTTTCATGTCCCTCTTATAAGTTAACTTTTTCTGCATTAGGAAAATAATACTTTGATGGTTGAAAAGGAAACCAATGGTAGCAGTTGTAATTAAATTTCGTATTATAAGCAAAACATTACTTTTTAGTTACTTTTTGATTCTTCTTAACTTGCATATTAGCATTCTTTGGTCTGTTTGCTCTCAGATGTGTTTCCATTACAGGATGTAGCCTCATGCCCACAGTGGTACTCAATTAGTGTTAATTGGGTGGAAGGAAGGAGGGACTAGAGGTAGGGAAGGAGAGAGGAAAGGGTGAGGGCAGCGTCATTTACATCCTCCGCTTAAATATTCAGACATCACCTGGTTTTCTCTCTGAGTTACCTGCTGGCTAGTAGCAGTCTTAAACCTTCACTTTTTTTTTTTTTTTTTACTCTTCTTAGAATTAAGTTCACTGAAAGACAGACTTTTCACATCCAGTTTAAAAACTAAAAGTAAAATAGTTTTTATTTACTCTAGTTAGACTAATATCTCTTTGTTGCTGTTAAGCAAATGGTGTGTAGGTGCTAAAGAGGAATTTATCTTTGTCGTGGGATGTTAGTGGGCTGATTGCTGCAGAACTACCATGAGAGGACTTGGGTGATGGACTGTTACTGGAATAATTTTGATGTAATTTATTTTATCAGCACCAGGGCCTTCAGGGAAAGGAGGAAATAGATTAAGTTTTCAAAGTATTTTCACATGGTTGCCTTTGAATCATTTTATGGACATATTATAAATTGTTTCAGCCTCTAGCTAGACTGCTTGCATAAAAGTTCTGGTAGGTGTTTCACATTATATTCATAGTTCGATGTAGCATGATTTTTCTGATAATCTTTGTATGTGTTAAATAAGTATCTTAATTTGAAAGCCCTTAGTAGGGTTTCTAATTAAATGTAGACAGATAACTTTTTAAGGCTGTGGCAATTTCCACTCTTATGCAAAGTTATCACCCAAAAAAATTGTAGAAAATACAAATAAACAAAAGGAAAATATAAAATCTAAGCCCAAAGGTAACCATGGTTAACTTTTTAGATGTATCTTGTAGTCCTGTCTATCTCTAAAGGAGGAGAGGGGTTAGAGTCTTACCTGCTCTTACTTAGCTGGGTTTGTTTTGTTTGTTTCAGTTAACACCACATTGGTTGCATACTAACCTATCTCATGTATATTCTATAATTGTTTAACCAATAATAATTTATCATAATGGCATAATAAAAAAGCCTTGTAATTCAGTCTCCAGTAGATTGTTTTTCACTTAATTATAAGTGGATTTTATTGTATATTTTCAGATACAGACATGAAATCGCACATGATGGGCAGAGGATTTACATCTTGGGAGGTGGTACTTCCTGGACAGCTTATTCCTTAAACAAGGTAGATTTTGCAGAGGGAGAGAAAAAGCTAGAGAGGGGCTCATGTCATACCAAGCAAAATTACTCTGTTATTCTAGATTATTAAATTTTTGAGCAGGTTCTTCATCCATACTTACTTTGTATGAGATACTCTTTATAACATAAAACCAAATTCTGCACCATAATGTTTTCCAGTTGCACTAATCCTGCACTGAGACAACTTTACAAATATGATCTTCGGTGTAAGCTAGGTGAGGAAAGTGATGAGGGGGCGGGTGCAGTAGCTTGAATGGAGCAACTAACTGTGGAGTCGGGACCCAGATTCCCAGGATGTCCTATCCCTCATTGTCAGTGCCGTGTGTCTAAAAGGACAGGCATGTTTAGGGCTACATGTCATTAACTTTAGAAAGCTGAGCTCCAAGGGCTTTTATTTAACCATCCCTGTGCCATTTCTAAACCCACAGTTCTCAGGGGGATTCTAGGTGAGGCTGCAGAGGTCCTGGTTTGCTTTGGATTGTTAAGGGTGTTTTTTAAGTTTTGTCAAACCATATTCCTGCATTCACTTACCATACTCGCTTCTCTTCTATTATAGAACTGAAATATGTTCAATTGCAGGAAATGGGGAAGCTGCAGATACACAACTTTTTTACTTCATTTCTTTCTGTGACTTTTAAATTTTGAAAAAATATGTAGACTTAATTTTCAAGTGCTATTAGGATTAGGAAAGATCAAAGAAGTCTTTTCAGAAAATATACATATATATGTTTGATAAAGCTGTTATTAAAAATCCAGTTTTCGGGCACACTAAAATTCTTGGTGTATGTGTATGTGTTTTTTTTTGTTTTTTTTTTTTTAAGATCCATGCATACAACCTTGAAACCAATGCATGGGAGGAAATCGCAACAAAACCCCATGAAAAAATAGGTAAATTTAAAATATTGATTCATTCATTTATCTTTAGATGTATTTTATACTTGTTTAAGAAGGGGAAAAGTAATTGTACTCATATGATAAGTAAAGTTTCTGTTGAACTGGTATTAGAAGTTACTTGTCTCTTAGCACAGTTACTATTCTTCATCAGCAACTTAGCAGACTTTAATTGGGGGTGTTGAACTCTGTGGAAGCAGGGAAATAGGGGTGGGGTAAGAACAGACACCTAGTCAAGATTCTCATGTCTCTTTGAGGGTAAAAGGGCTTGGAAAAGCCACCAGTGACCGCTGCCCCCCACCATCCCATTTTGTTTACCTGTCACCTAACATTGTACCATTTTTGTGAAACTCAGGACTTTATTTTGGTGTGAAATAGGATCGGAAAGACTAATGTTTGTTTAAGACAACAAAGGGCCAGTCTTGATGGGGATCCTCTTACTATGCCTTTTACCATGTCATGTTGCCGTCACCCCTGGCCTTTCTGTGAATGATGGAATTTCCACGTTTGTGTGTTTGGCAGGTTTCCCTGCAGCGCGAAGATGTCACAGTTGTGTCCAAATTAAAAATGGTAAGGATTCTCAGTAATGTTCTTACCCTGTTTTTGTAATTGTACATGCTGAAAGTGTCCTATTGTATAATGATGGCTCTTTAGGTGAGGCATAACAGGGAAGAGTCTGTTTCTTGTGGTTTAGGCTTAACAGAAAATCTTTGAAGTTACAACTCTTTCATCAGTTTTCCCACAAAGGTTATCAATGAGTAAGTGAATCTTTCAGCCTCTGTCTACCTCAAGTGACATCTGTAGTTATGGTGTGTATTACTACCTGACATGCAGTAGAGACCATGGTGGGCAGTGTGTTGAAATTCCTTCCTTCCGAGTAGTAGTTCATAAAGTTCATTCTGCTCGCTGTCTGATGCCAGTTAGAACTCAACTCAAACCTTTGGTCACTTACAACAAAGGCATGTATGGCTTAAGAAGCAGGTGCGGCCACTTTAATGTGATAAATGACTCCTCTGGATAATCTGCCTCTTCATTTTCAGTGTATTTTACAGTTTGACATACCACCTTCTGTTTTTTTCCTGGAGGAAGGTGTGTGTAAATGAGTCTTAAACCCTGTATCCTTCCTGCAGCTTAGTCAGACTTAACAGGCGTGTGCTGCCATGCCAGCGCAAAGATATCTTTATTATGCTTCTGCTTTTTGCATAAAATTTATGGGTAATGGCATTGTGTAGGCTTACCTCTCTTCAGAATGGAAGTAGTACTTTGAATCCTAGCCCCCAAAAGTTTCCAAACTTTAATTAAGTTTTGGTTTAAGTTTGACCTAGACTTGAATTAAAATGTCTATTCAGTCGGCTCTTATGCGACCAGGTACCGTACAGTGGAAATCTTAGTTCCGGCCTTTCTGTTGGAAGGATCACAAAGCCTGTGTTGCATCTTGTCTAATTAATTAGGCACAACAATTTTAACTTACAAACAAAACAACAATACAAACTCTTTGATTTGGGGGAGCGTCTCCCCCTCCCCTTCCCCCCCAAAAGTACTGTACAGACTGAATGGGTCTTCAGTCTTTCCTCCTTTGGGCTGAGGAAGGACGGAAGAGCCCCCGTGCGCCCAACTGTTGCTGTTGTTTCTCTTCAGGTTAAATGGAAAGACAAGATACTTGTCTCTGTGGGCAGATAAATATCTACCCTTCCCCGTCCGTTATTTAAAAGGTTGGCAAGCCGGAGGTCTGAAGACTGTATTTTGTTTGGCTCATATGTGTGTGGAACGTTTTTGAGTTAGTGGTTACCACTTAAAAATTAAAACGTGTCACCTTTTTCAAAATCCAGATTACCAGCTTCTCTTGAAAACTTGGAAAACCTGTTGGTTGCTGCTGTCAGTCTGCATGGTGTCCCTTAGGGGGAGCAGCATTTCCGTCTCCCCCAGTAGAGCCTGTGCACCCCTGTTTTGTTCCCTGAGGTCTCCTGTTTATTCACTTTCTCCAGACCTCCTTATTTACTCACTTTCTGTGCTTGGCATATGTTGCTGTTTGAATTTGAGAACCTAGATTTGAAGCCTCTGGAGAGACTTGCCCCTGGGGACCCAGCAGGGATTCCGAGGAGAGTCTGAGGGCGCTGACGGACGAGACAGCAGCATTCAGCCCACCGCCGTGTCCTGTGTGTCCCACGGAGCTGGCCCCGCCACCCATGGCATACCGTGCTGCAGCTGTGGCTGTTTTTCTTTGTGTGACCTCGGTACTCTCCTTTCTTGATAGATGTGTTTATTTGCGGGGGCTATAATGGAGAAGTGATTCTTGGGGATATCTGGAAGCTAAATCTGCAGACTTTCCAGTGGGTGAAGCTCCCAGCCACCATGCCAGAGCCAGTTTATTTCCACTGTGCAGCTGTTACACCAGTAAGTTGTTATTTTCCTATCTTTCTGTGCACAATTGTATCTGGTATGAAAACATTGTTAGGGATGTTAGCAAGAAAAAGAGGTTCTGCAGTAGCAAAGCTTGGGTTAACAATGTGTTTTTAAAACTTTCTTTCAAAGCTACCCCTTGCTCTGAGAAAAGGGGAGAGAAACAGTTGTAGACAAGTTTAAAAGGGCAGCACAGGTGTCAGAGAATGGTGCGTGGGCCTGCTGGTGATGCGAAGCCTTGTCCTGGAGGGCAGGACAGTTTACCCCAGAATGCCGTGCTACTGGAGATTCTTCTAGTTTCTTGAAGGCAAAGATTTTCATCTTCGTATTGTCAGTATTTAGCACAGCAGACACTACATTTAGTCTTAATGTTTATTGAAAACAAGCCATTTTCCCTCTGGAACTCACTGATGTTTAAGCCCTTCTCCATCTCTGTCCTGTGGGAGACTGAGGAATGCTTGTCTGTACCTCACCTGCAGTCAGCCTGCCATGCATCTTTTCCCGGAGTCTTTAGCCCGGGAACCTGTAGCTCTCTCCCGTTTGAATTTGTCCTCTCTTCATTGCCATTTGTTCACAGGCCGGTTGCATGTACATTCATGGAGGAGTGGTGAACATCCACGAAAACAAACGGACTGGGTCATTGTTTAAGATCTGGCTGGTGGTGCCGAGCCTGCTGGAACTGGCGTGGGAGAAGCTGCTTGCGGCCTTCCCTAACCTGGCAAACCTCTCCCGAACACAGCTTCTGCACCTTGGACTCACACAGGGACTCATCGAGCGCTTGAAATGAAGATTTCTGGACTGTTCATTGATACTGGAAATGTTAATTTAAAGAGACTCCTTTATTTATGGGCAGTGTCGAGTGTGCTACAAAGAGGATTGGCTACCCTGATCAAGGCCTTACTCAGAAAATACATCAGATGCCTTTCTGTCAATTGGTTTTAAGTTTATGGAAATCTCACTTTCCCTCGTGCTCCTTTCTTTGCTTCTCTCCCTCTTGCCCCAGTGCACATACTCACTCTCCCCTCTTCCTTGATGGAGTCGAGGGAAAGTCTGAAAGTATCTTAAGAATGTTATGAATCAAGTTACGATAAAGAATTTTGTAAAGGACTCTGAATATATGACCATGTCAGCCGTTGCTCTGCAGATTAAAGCAACACCATCGACAAAAATAAAAGTAACTTTTAATCCAGAAATTTGGGGGATAGAACAAGAATGTTAACCTGAGACGCCTGCAGGTTACGTAAACCTAGATGTGTCGTGCTCACAGAGTACACCTGAGTGGCTGGACCACTGGCAGGGGTGGTGGCATCCTGCTCACAGATGCCCACCCCTGCCCCTGCCTTGGAGGGAAGCCAGTGGCTCCTGATCAGTGGTCTCCTCCCCCGTGGTGCCAGCAAGGTTAGCGTTGGCTTGTCAAAAGAAATACGTGTGTGTCGTAGTAGTGCTTTTTGTTGTTTCTCTTAGAAATTATGTCACTGAGTACACTTCAAATCAAGAAACTTTCTGGTGGTCAAAGTGTTGCATTCTGGGCAGTTTGAAAGTTCTCTTATGCTTATCGCTGGCTTCAAGCATCTCTTTGACGTCTTCGTAGGGAATCGTAGCCCCCAAATGCGTGGCGTGGCGTGGCGCACCAGCTCGTGAGGGGTGAGGGAGGAGCGGGGCAGAGAAGGCGTGTGCCCTCTGTCTGGCTTTGTTAGGTTGGCTTCTGCTCTGTGCTCTGAGCTTTGACCTGGTAGCAGCCATTTCCATTTCAGAACTTGTTTCTTTCCTAACCTGCTGTTTTCTCAGGCAACAGGTTTTATCACTAGAAAGCCAGTTGGCCCTGGATTTTCTCTTAGCTCACTGCCTCCTTTTCTGTCTGCTTTCATGTGACTGTGCCGTGGTAACTGTCTAGTAATTGAATAAAAGGTCTTGGAGAAAGAGTCACAGGCCATCTTTCCTGAAGAACTAAGTATCATTTGAAAAACCAGCCTGAGGAAGAAATAAAACTGAGTATCACCTTTTTGCTGTGAAATTTTAGTTCTAGTTAGTTAGTTTTATTCTATTTCTGAAGAAGAAACGACTGAAATGTTCACTTGCTTTGCCATCAGGCTGCCAGAGCGGTTGAGCACGTCACGAGACGCCAGCCCTTGGCAGTCCTGGGGTGCAGGGGAGGCGCTGGAGGCAGACGGGAGGGCACACTGCTGCGCGTCCTGCCGGCTGCCTCATGACAGGAGACCCAGACAGGAGATTAGGACACACTTTTCCTTTAAGTGCCTCTTTCTCACATAGCTTTTAAAGCCACTCTTCTTTTTCCTTCATCCCGGAAGGGATCTGTAGCTCATGTGTGGATTTAAAACCAACTCTGCATTGTCAATAAAAAGTCACCACCCCATGTTCAGTTCTCAGAAAGTCACACTGCAGCCTCGAGACCTGGACTCCCTAATTACCAGGCCTCATTATAACATCCCATCTGTTTGGGTTGAGTTTGGGGAGCCTAAATTGTGCAGAGCCTGTAATAACCATACATCTGTGAGTTTGGGTCTTTTTATGGGGAGGGGATATGGTAGGAAAGGAGCAGCTTCCCCAGGGGGCTGTTTGAGTTTGGGGCCCACTCGGGGCTTGCTCCAGCATTCCTCCCAGAGCATGCCGGTCAGAGCTGCTCTATTCAAAACCAGACTTTGCTGCATGACTCCAACCTGGTCTCCAGATACTCGATGGAGAGACACCCAGAACTGAAAAAGTCATGCTGGCTAGGGTGGTGAACAGATCTTTGTCATGGACTTATACGGGGACCAAAGACTGAATGCTCAGCCTGGGTGCTTACACTTCCCCGGTCCGTGAGATACGAGCAGGTCACCAGTCCTGCCACACCGAGAGCAGGAGTGTGAGTCTGGTCCAATTCACACGTGAGGCGTCCTTTTGTTTTAAGTCTTTTCTAAGCAGTCTTTCTTTAAGGTAGACTTTGGAGGCCTGACATCCAGGACTTGGTGTGTGAGGGTTTCATAGAAGTACACATCCTTGGTCTGAAGCGTCTTGTTTTAGTCTAACACTAGTGACAATGAGATAGTATGACCAGCCCGTGTGCTTTCACACCACACATGCGCACATGTTCTGAATGCCAAATGAGACTGCGTATGAGTTAAACGTGGATGACTAGACTTTTATATAGGGGGTCACCAGGCACTTAGTGTACTATAACCAGCACTCTGAATTCCGGACCCTTCCTTGATTTAGGGAAATGTTATGCCTGCTGCTTCTCTGCCTCTTTGAGGTACACCCAGCCATCCCACTGCAGTCCTATGAATTTAAGTGCAATATATAGAAACACATATGGATATATACAGATTATATATAGGGTGCGACTATAAAACAGGTAGACTACTTGTTTTTGGAGCTGTCTTGGGGAAGCCAGCTCATTATGTTAGAATCAAATTATACCAAGAAATTTATGAGGTGGTTGACTGGTTTAAGCCACCTCTGGATAAGGCTGGATTTTAAGTTCTTGGAGACTTTCTGTTCCTTGGGTTTCTCAGAGTTGAGACTTTTCCCCCAGTCACCTCTGTGCTTACTCATGTTTGAGTATCTCCCGACGTTCCTTTGCCCGGGAACAAGGTTGTCTACCTGTAAGGAGTCTCCTAAGTGAAGAATTAAAAGCGAATATTTAATACTATCAATTTTCCCATGTATATACTAATTTAACTTTACTAAATGCTTCACTAAATGGTGAAAATGAGACTTTCTTCATTTAGTGAAGTGTTTTTCACAACCTGGAAAATGTATGAACAAACATAAAATAGATTGAAATTTTAGCTCTTCTTCAGGGGCCACATTAAAACCCTTCCCACCGGCAGCATCATCATTTTTTTTTTTTTTTTAGGGTCCTAGTGACATGATGTAAAGTTTTGCTCTAAACTATTCATATTGATTGCATAGCTAGTTTTTAATGTATAATAAGAAATTAACATTTCTAAGCAAAGGTATATTAACAGTGACCTTGGGTTACCCAGAATAGCAAGAGAGTAAAAGCACAGATAATTGAAATCCATAAGTAACCAATGTTTCAACTTCTCTATCAAATAATTATTAATTTATGGTTGTTTTTCCTTCCTTCCCCTTTTCCACAAGCCCCTTCTTTTCAGTGGTGTGGGATTAATAAGTAATTAAGAATGGGAGAGAAGGATCAAAGTGACCAGCAAACATACAAGCAGCCTGGTAGCTATCACTGGTCCGCTGATGACCACTGTTGAAAGCTGAAACGAGGAGCCAGTGGTTGGAGGTTACTCTACTGCTCCGCTTCAGCAATCTCCTACTCCCAGTTCTAGGCCGTCCTTCCTACCAGCACCAAAGAACTCTTGGCCTGTGGGAAGCAAAGCTGTGTATGATGCAGAGGGGAAACCCCCCCCCCCCATCCTTTCTACACATTTCTTTGGCTCTTGACAAATACTTGCTTTTCCTTCGTTCCTGTAGGAGCCTGACTTTTCCCCCTGGAAACACCTTTTTCTAGCCACCTAGCTTGGCATATGGGAGAGGTTGTGTTGTCCTCTGAGACTTTGTTGGTCTTCGTTCTATAAAGCCCCAGTGTGTTTCTCTGTGGTCCTACGGGTGTTTAGAGAGTGGCACAGGTACTGACTGCCTGCCTGCCAGCATCCTGCTGTAGCACAAAGCCTGATTCTTACTTGTTCTGCCGTGAGCTCCAGGATGGAGGGGGATTTATGGTCCCGTGAGCATTAACCGCCCCCCCCCCCAGACTGGTTACCTTAGCTTCAAATCCTTTGGCTCCCCAACCCCCAAGACTCTAGGAGTGCTGGCAAGACCTGCGGTGGAGTCCTGTGGTCTCCCTGCACGTGACCCAGAGCAGGCCAGCGTACAGCGCTCCCCTTCCCCGGCTGTTAGATTCCGCAGAAAGCAACTTCTTCTTTAGTCTGGTGTTAGGAAAAGCAATTCTTAAGTTGTGCTTCAAAAGCGGTACCTTCTTTTTGGTATCATTTTTATGGTGGCATTTTTTTCTTCTTCACATTTTAGAAGTTTTTTAAAGGTCCTGCTTTGTCCGTGTACAGGGTGAGTCAGAGGCAGTTTCACCAAGCTGTAGTAATTGCTGTTTTACTAGTTGCACATTTAGAATACAAAGGAGGCATCCGAGACAAACTGTCTTTCTCAGAAGCCACTTCCTTGTACACAGAGTCTGAGCAGGGGCCACAACAGGCATCTGCCGGTAAAGACACCTGCCAGTGTGGATTTTGCAGGAAGAACCTAGCAAGAAAGGGAACCTCTCACACGCAGTCTGGGGGGCGAGTGTGGGCTGGGCTCTTGGTACAGGGTATGTGGAGGCCACACACGATGCTTGCCTTACTTTAAAGCTATTTGCCACAGTCCTGTTAATAGTGTGGACGTCCTTTTGCAGTCGGTGTGCATGCCATATGGTGAGGACAGCTACTCCACCACGCCTGGTTTCCTACCAGCAAGTAGGAGATATAGTGAATACCCTAAAATGTCCAATCTGTATTTATGTACCTTGTCAGTGTTTTGCTGTCAGTTTTCTAAAACAATCTGATCAATAAATCTTATCCAAATCGATTCGTTCAAGACCACCTTGACCGTGTGATTTGCTTGTCTGTGAGCGCAACTGTACGACTTGCGTCCGCCTTTAAGTCATCGCCTTCCACCCCCCCGCGTGTGGGCTCCTCTCTGCTCACCACCTAGACCCACGGTAGCCCCCTCAGTAGGGCCCAGTTCTGTCCTATTGCTCCCCTAAACCGCCACTAGAAAAGGTGTGTGGCCAGAGCTTTGAAATGAACTCTTCTTTCTGTCTGATTGGGTTCTTAGATAAGGCCCATCTCCGCCTGGGGGAGGGGTTACAGTGGCTTAGTTGGTTTGGGGGTGTTATTCTTTCAGTTATATGAACAAAATTCTAGTTTGTCCAAGAGCACCCAACCCAGTGCAGTAGTTTTCTGGGGTGATGGAGATGTTCTGTGTCTGCATGGTCCAGTGTGTGGTGGCCACTAGCCACAATTAGCTACTACGCACTTCCAGTTGGCCAGCATGACTAAGGAACTGACTTTTTAATTTGACTTAAGGCTAATATGAACAGACGTATAAGATGCATAGCTCAAAGCCACACACTTCAGAAGTTTCTGTCATTGCTCTTTATAGTTGAGACAAAAAATAAGCCACCATCTCTCAGGCTTTACATGTCTTTTTTTTTTTTTTTATAAAGATTTATTTATGCATCAGAGCTGGGGTACAGGCCAGAGGTGCAGGGGCAGTGAGAGGATTCACCAGGGCCAGAGTGGGGAGCAGAACAGGCTGGCTGACGTCGGAGAGGTCTGCCATGCCATGTGGGTCAGCTCTAGGGCGGGGATCAAACTCATGCTGAAGTGGCTTTAGCTTCTCAGTGCTGTGCTTTAACCCGCTGCGCCAGCAGGGAGGGCCCTACATGTGGTTTCTATCCTGTTGCCCAACATCAGTTTTTCACCATCCTGTCCCTTCATGAAATCCGTAAGACCATGATTCCGGGGCAGAGACTTATTCCTTCATACACTTCACAGGTGAGGTAAAAGGTTTCCAAGCAAGGCAGCCTGGCAAATCGCCCTCTGTGGCCCACGTCCAGGGCTTCCCACGCCTCTACACGAGGGCGGTGCTTTTCCCGATTCTCAAATACAAAAGCGTGTCCGAGCTCCTTCCATCAGGCAGCTCAACAGGAGCATGGCGGGTCACACAGAAAGGAGGGTGCGCAGCATGGCTGTAAGACAGGAAGCAGACCAGTTAGAGCCAGGCAGCAGGAGAGAAGGCCAGAGACAGATGGGGACTCTGGCCATTTACTATTTCGGGACCCCGCAGCAGACCTAGATCTCTTGAGCAGTATTGCAAATGGCAACTGTGAAAAGAAAGCAATCCGGCACCTTGGAGAGAACAGACCTTCCTTCTTGAAACTTCCACTGAGGGCCCTCCCTGGTGGCACAGCGGGTCAAAGCACAGCACTATAAAGCTATCGCAGCCACTGCAGCACGAGCCACCATCCCCTGCCCCGGAGCTGACCCACATGGCGCAGTAGACCTCTCCTGACCCACCCTGCTCCTCTCAGCAGTGTGTTTCAGTCTCTGGTGAAGCCTCTCAGCCCACAACATCTCTGGCCTGTACCCCAGTTCTGTATGCATAAATAAATAAATCTTTAAGAAACTTCCACCTAAAGCGAAGCCACTCACACTCCTTTTGTCAAGGCGTTGACAAAATCTCCCCAGCTCAGTATCACGGGGCAAAACTACCCGCCCTGCCGGCTGCCAAGGTAAGGGCGGCCATGCCCTCAGCACCCAGAGCATGGTCCTCTGGCTCCCGGTGGAGGGTGGTTAAGCAGACGCTACCTTACCTGCCATCGCGCTCATCCGGGTCCTCACCTCCCAGGCTGGGCAGACTCCTGGCTGTACCCCAGGCATCATGGGGCTGCAGCCACAGAGGGGCTGAGTCCGCCCAGAGTGAGGGCCCTGGGCCTGGATGCCTGGTGCACAGCACTGGGCCACAGAGGGTGTCCCCCACTGCACAGGACGGCCTGGTGCTGGCATTCAGGGTTGGAGAACCTTCTGAGGTCCCCTTAGTGTGGAGGGGAGGGCTCCAACTTCCTGGCCCCTGGAGAGGCAGGTGACCAGCTGGGGCGCAGGGAGGCCAGGGTGCTATGCATCGCCAGTGAGCTTCCATCCGGTGATGAGCTGGGGGAGAACTCGGGGAGGCAAGAGGCTTACGTGAGACTTCCTGATCCTTCCCATTGAAGAGCTTGGGAAAGACTCTCTGAAGACTCAGTGAATGTGCAGGGGAAGCTACTCCCCAAAGTGTGTGCGCATGAGGAGGAGGAACGGTATTTCACCAGGGATTTGGCATTCATTCTGGACAGGAACAAAACCAAGTTCCTTTGTCTTCTGGAAGCAGAAGAAGCCAGTGGCAGGAGCAAGAGGAACCTCAAGGGGAAGAGAGCTGCGAGGAAGGAGAAAGGAGGAAGGGAGACAAGCCACGAAGGTCAGAGAGAGCTGAGAGAGCTGAGTGGACAGTTTGACTTTTATTCTAAGAGCAGTGGGAAGCTTGAAACCAGAGAACAAGCAGACACACCCCTGTGCTGTGGAGTGGGGAGCAGGGAGCAGGGCCCTTGGAGGAATGGTGCTTCAGGCGCAGGGAGGGTGGTGGGCCTCGGACCAGGGCCCAGGCATAGGGCATGGCAGGCCGTGAGCTCCCACCACTCCCACGGGCAGCCAGGTGGCAGTCCCTTCCCTGAGCAGAGGCCTCGACTTCTGGCCCATATGAGAAAGGCTTTGCTAGCACCCGGCCCAGCAGGTAGGCCGGGGCAGGAGTGGCTGACCTGAGTAGCTTCCAGGACAGGGGGTCCCAGCAATGCTGCCCTGGACCCCAGAGCCCGGCTCTGCAGCCCACCACGCCTAGCTGGAGAGAGGCTCAGGAGAGGAGGGGGAGCCTCCCTGAACCGGAATGATCTGGTTTGGAGCAGCTGGCTGCCCCTCCTCCCTCTCTCCTTCAGAGACTGGCTGGTTTTTGCCGCAGCCCCCTGACCAAGGTAAACAGCTAGGAGGGAGGCAGGAAGAACGCTCTGTTGCCATGGCAACGCAGAGGCCAGTTGCCTGAGCGCTCTGGGATGGGTGACTTCAGGGGGAAGAAAGGACTCTCTAGAAAAGCACCAGGGAGGAAGCCCCTCTGCTCCCAGGTGGGGAACACGAGGTGGGCAGAGGCACCCGTGGTGGCGTGGCAGGTGAACGGGAGGGGGAACACGCAGAAAACTGTTGTGACAGCTGTCTTCCCAGGGCTCAGTCCTCACACTCCAGAGCAGGAAACCCTCACAGCTCCCCAGCCCTGCACTCGGCCAGCCCCTTCCAGAAGCCCTCAGGGGGCACTTCACCCTGGGGCAGCCACAGGTTCCAGAGAGAGGTTCCAGAGCCCCAGGCCCAGAGAGAGGTTTTGTCCAAATTGCCAACTTTGGGTGACTGGGGGGTACCGCTGCCCACCACATGCTCACCGTGGCCTTCCTCCCCAGACCCCCGGAAGGCCTGGAGGCTGACCCCTCCATGTGGGATCGTGATGGGGCAGTGGGAAGTCAAGTGTGTAACAGGATGACCCTGCCCATGGGTGTAGAGATCACTCAGGGAGCCCCCCGTTCCCTGGGGTCTCCTCTCAGGAGCAACCAGAGGGCATCTGGAACATCTTGTGGTTTCAAGTCCTTATATTGGGTTCCTCAGAAGCTCCCAGGAGAGGCCTTTCCTTGTCTGACCTTCATCTGTGGTGCCGACAGGGGACAAGGGCCGTGGTGTGATAAGCTTCCTGTCCTTGAAAAACAGAAAGATGGACAGCTCAGCCCAGAAAGCAGTGGGGTAGCTGCCCTGGTGAAAGCTACAGGGAGGTGGCCCCTGACCTCAGTGACCCCAGTCCTGTGGGGAACCCAGGTGATGGGACTTCAGGATCCCGGGTTTCCCAGCTCTGGGCTCACCCATGTGCTCAGCCCACACCCTCCATCTGTCCATGCTGTTGTCTACTGGAAGAGGCCTCAGGAAAGGTCCCAGGGGCGGGGGGCAAGGTCAGGAACAGTGCAGAGACATGCTTTCCCTTTGCAAAACATCCAGAAATGCCACGTTTTCCTGATTCTTTCCGTGGCCTGTGGGTCCCAAAGTCCTCAGACCTTCACTGCTGCCACTGCTCCCGCACACTCTGTTCCAGCCGCTGCACCTCCTTGCTGCCCACCCACGCTGCCATCTCTGGCCCTGGCCCTGAAAGGCTCAGCGTGCACATGGCCTCATTCCCACCTTCTTTTATTGGGCTCACATGTCACCTTCTCCTTGAGGGAGAGTCAGAGCAAGGGCGGATGAGCGAGGCACTGGGCCCCACTCTTTCACCAGTACCGACTGCATGATTGGAGGGACTGAAGCTACCTGAGGGCCAAGAGCCTGCCGGCTGGGCAAAGTGGGGTGCAGGCAGCAGATCAGCTGTGCTCCCTGCTCCTGCCCCATGGAGGGTGTTGGCGGGTTGTTGTGGGGGGATGGGAATGAGGCTGTGCTCTGTGGGCTTCAAACCTGCAGGGGACCTGCTGGGACAGACTCAGCTGGTGCATAGGAAAGAGGGGAGGTGCAGGGCTTGTGTTGGGGGGTGGGCAGGACCCCGCTCGCTCGTAGAGCCACACCGGCCTGCAGTTGGGGCTCACTGACATCAACAGCCCTCTCTGCTTCATGGGGCCTCACGAAGCTCCTCTCAACCAGGCAAAGTCCCTGTAGCCAACTGGCTGCTGCAGCAGAGGGTCTAACACTCCGTCAGTCAAAGCCCCACTTGAGCGTGAGTCACCTTCAATTTCCTGCCTGCCTGCCTCTTTCCTGATTGACCTGATCAATTCAGGACAGCTTTTATTGCTCTTGGCGGAAAAACTGCCTCGAAGATTTACAGAGCCAAAAGCTGCTACAATATAATCTTCAGAGTAATTTACACAGTGAGTTTCAAAGATGAAAAGTTAGCATTTCAGAGGTAATTTCATAAAAAGGATTATCAGATTAATCACGGTGTCAAGTTAATAGTGGTGTCTCAAATAATTAATTAGCT